TCTCTCTGTCTCTCTCTCTCTCTCTCTCTCTCTCTCTCTCTCACCCACCCACCCACACACACACACACATACACACACACACGCACACACACAACATTATGATATATATATATATATATAATATAATATATACATGTATATATAAAAACCAAATGTACAATGCATGGAAGAGAACAGGCAGGCAGACACACAGCCAGACTATTGTCGAAATAGGCGTAAAATCAAAACGTATTGAACCTAGATCCCGATTGGTGTGGTAGGCCTATATCCTTCAAACATGATATTATGGAGACTGTGGGTGGATGGCAGGCGCTCCAGAGTGGTTTGCTCCCTTTCTCTTATTAGACATCATCCGTCCTCATCTCGACTTCTTTTTGTGATGGTTACTCTCTTGAAACACCTTAATCTTCGACGCGCCTGCGACCTGATTGTGTTGCAAGTGCCATAAAACTCTAAGAGAAAACAAAAACAAACATAAAAAAACAAAAACAAAAACAAAAACACCCCCCTCCCCCCAAGGAACTGAATTCAGACCTACCCAATAAATCAATCTGCTGCAATAAAATAATTGACATGTGGAATGTTGAGAGTAGACTATAACTTTTGACTATAAGGGTTGTGTTAACTATATAGCCCGCGGGTAAATAAATAGGGTCATTTTTGTACAGTTCTGTGCGAGCCATGGAAACGTCAGCGAATACAAAATAAATAAAGAAATATTTGAATAGAATAAATGAATAACTGGAAAAATAAAATAAACCGGAGACAAAAAGTTTTCTCTGAAATGCTCATATTAGAATTAACAGAGCTAAGATTAAACTTAGTTTTCGTTTTGAAATTTAAAGGGAAATCGAAATTCGTTTGTTTGATTAAAACAACAACAACATTTTATTATAATAGCCCATGCCTTTAGATACTATTTTGGAGGGTATTTTTAAAGGGAAAAAAAGCGCGCATATGCCTAGTATAAGTAAACGGTATGTCCACTTGGGATGATGTTTTTGGTCTTGTCGAATGGCCCCCGGTTTAAACAGAGAAAGCCTATCCCCCGGTTTAATAAGTGTGTCCCCTCCTGTTCTAAAATGGCCTTCCACACAAAAACATATTTTAACAATGTATACCGCAACGTTATACACAAACGAACTTAATAAGAATTTGCCCTTCATCCCCAATAAATAAATAAATAAATAAATAAATAAATAAATAAATAAAATGAATATATAAACAAATAAAAATCAAATAGATAAAATGAGATAAAATAGTAAATGGATAAATAAAATAAAATAAACAAAATAAGACAAAATAAAATAAATTGACCTCTCTATTAATTTCACCAAATGTAGTAACTTCTGCATTAAACAACTGCAACACACACAAAAAAAAGGCAAAACAATAAATGGTAATTTTGAGTACTGCTGGTCACTGCGATTAGTAAATCGCAAAAGGAACCGGAGTGGAATTGAGAGAGTACCAACGGTAAAAGAAAAAAGAAGGATGTCTAAAAACTAGTGGAAATTTGGATCCCGGGCATCCGCAAGTAGGCCTCATAATAATTGCTGAGTCAAACTCGAACACCCACGCATGATGGCCCGGTACAGGGTACCTGGAAATGCGGACAGAATCCTGGTTGACTGGTAGGCCTAGTGGTAGAATCGAGTCACACATGCACGAGCAACAGGATCAATGAAGTCGGTTTACCATACTTAACATAATGAGCGCGCACGGGTCCATTTACCTAAATTGTTTCTAACCGTTTTTTTCCCTATGTCCACGACTGCTTCGCTAATAAAGAATGGTAATTTATCCAAACTAAAAGTAATCATACAAATATCAAACAAATAGGAAACCCCAGCCGTGTGCTACAGCGCAACTGTCTCTTACAGCCAACGTTAGTGCTCGTGTATACATGTACATGTATATAATATAGTGGCGGCGGGTGGCGGGTTGCCGCGCGAGGGTAAATCGCGCTGGAAAACTCGTGCCTGTATATCACTAGCCGAGTTTGGTGTACTTAGCAAAGCTGGGACAGCGCTATCGTGGTATCGCTACAACCCAGACAATCTTCCTTATTTGAAGAAGACTTTTTGTTAGTTGACAGCAGTTTCACGAGGTTTCTTCTACCGGTCATTGGAAGAAGACGAGAACAAATAGCGTCCTCGAGATAAACAAAAGAAGACCAATTAATTTAATGACGGTGAATGCGACCACCTTTTCCACCAATTGATGGTTTACCCAGAGAGATTTTTTTCCTATACGTATATACGCGAATGAATCATAGGACATTTAATTTGACTACATTTTGAAGAAGATATATAGAATCTTCTACCTAGAGCGTGGCACGAATTATGACTAGCCCAGTTGCTACAGTGATCACACAGTAGCAAAAGTTGTTAACCAATTACACACTCCGGTGTGAGGTGCGCGTCAAAAACAAAAAATTGGTTCTGGTAACTTTACCCGCCAGGCTGCAAATTAGCAGCGCCTACACACATGCGTTTACTAGTACACTTACATGTGCAGATCAGACCAGGCGAGCTCAAAACCCACCTTCACTATAAACACTGGCTTAGGCTGTTATTAACTTTTATCGGGTCATTATTGTTGGTAGTGTTTACTCTTGGGTACAGGCGACGTAGTGAAAAGTTATGTGAGTGAAATGGAATTCATCCCATTTCATAGGGCCTATTGGAATTTTAGTACTAACAATATGTTAGTTCTGTCGTGTATGAAAGGAAGGTGCTGGGTAAAAAGGGACAAATCAAATAATTTTGTACTGCGATTAGAAGTTTGGAAAAACGTAGCTGTATGTGTATGATTTTGCTTTCTGGTGAAAATCATTATTTTGTTCCAAACTTGATTATTTCTTATAGCCTAGTAATAGCTACAAAATTATCATAATATAATAGGTGCACTACCAGTGGCGGTGGGTAGTGAAGGGCTCATCGGCTTGAGTCCCTCTCCCCACCCCCCAACTCTATCCTAAATGAAAGTTTCTTAAATTTAATAATGAAATAAACAGTTGAAACCGTTATGATCGCACGCAATGAACACAGCGTGATCAATTTTAAAAGATCATGGTGGCTTGCTCATTATCCAATCAGTGTTGTCACCATTTACGCTTATAGTAACTAAACAGCCAATCAAATGTCTTTACGGCTCAGCAAAGGACGACGAGCCCGTTCCCACAGGCCTTTGAAACCCCTTCTGTAAAAAGGTAGAAGACTTGAAGGGTAATTGACGAGACACTGAGACACTTTCCCATAGTGACACAATTACATACACGCTCATTGGGCCTTTGTTAGGTGCTTTTTGCTTTTCTCGACTAGACCTAGGCCTACACGGCCAAATATACAGCTCTTAGGCGGAATATTATTATGTTTGAAGTGCTGTGTGTGCATATTGTGTTTGTGCCGCTGGGATTTAGCAGTTATAATTAATCACATCAAACTACTTTTGAGGCAACTTTTTCGGCAGTTGAAAATTAATTAGAGAAATTTTGAGGTGAAACGGCTTCGTCCCCACTATTCAGAAGTATTTGATTTAGAACAAAGAGATGGAAGACAAATGGTGAGTCTTCTAGCAAGCTTCGTGCATTGACTGGTGGGTAAAGAATTTCACTTATTGGTTTAAGTACGGTACTAGAAATGTTGACCTTTGTACGATCGGCTGGGTCATGCCGTGCGGTGTAGGGTCAAATACTATACTTCCATGTGCAGCCCTTGATGACGAAACATGTTATAGTCTGTGACTGTGAGGAAAGGGCGCTGTTATGTAAAACGTGAAATCTAGGCTATGATGTTATACTTGACGACACTGGAAGGCCCCAAAAACACAAAGTGTCCTACAAAACAGAGTGGATGAAGGTGATACTGAATACGATATCAAGGTGAGTAACCTTTGCCATGACATGCGAGTGAGTGTGTCACTGTCAGTTAGACGATATAAAAGGCCTGGAGGTTAGATCGAAGGTCTTGATCTGATTGTTGTTGTTTTTTGTCAATGTCCTTTTACTTTTAGATTTTCTAATCTACAATCTAGATGTAGATCTAGATCCAGATCTAGATCTAGATCTACGTTTATATTTGTCACCCTCTTGATATGACTTGCGATAGTGATTGTGTCAGAGGTGCGATTTGGATCCACATTGTCACTGTGTATTCCAGAGTGGCTAAAGAAATAATTTTAAAAGTAAAAGAGATTGATGGAAATCTCTAGATCTAGAATCTAGAAATCTAGATCTAATCTAGATTAGATCTAGATCTAGATTTAGATCTAATATCTAGATTCTAGATTTTGTTGATCTTTATGCAAGAACACGATCTAGACTCCCACTCTCATGTATTTTCAACAAGACAAGTCGGATCTTATATTCGTTCATCAGTGAGAACTTGATAAGAATATGGAAGGAAACGCTAACTACTACTAAAACTAAGGAACTAGATTCTAGATCTAGAATCTAGCCAAAGGCTCATCATGAGGTACTTAATTCACCAATAAATGATAGGCTATAGATCTAGATTTGTAAAGGAAGAGGCTAGCCGTACTTAATGACGGCTAGTCTGGCAGTCTAGCCGTACT